TTATACATCAACTATAATTTTAACGTAAAAGAATTTCTATTTTAAAACACCATTCTAAAATACAAACCAACAATCATATGGGAATGTCATGAAATAATCTTGAAGTAATTTTTATTTTTTGCAATCTATAACTTCCATTATTAGTGTATTCATAATATCTGGCTCCTTTAATTGATTTATTTCGAGTTTAAACCTTGCTCAAGTCGCTACAAAAATTATATTTAATAATTATAAGTTATTATACAGTCATGCCAAAAATTATTTGTGCATAGACAAATTTTTATGTCTTACTTTGAATAATGAGCTAGAATTTTATATAAATCAAAAAATATAATCAAATTCAAATCATATTCAGTAAATTAATAGGAAAACAAGAAAAAATAAAAAAAAACGAAGCAATAATTAATTTATAGTGTTCATAATCTCAAAATTTATTTAAAAAACAAAATCTCAAAAATTATTTGTGCATTCTTTTTAGTATGGTGCATTTAAAATTTTACTATTGTTTAATTATTAAAGAAAGTTTAATATTCTCGGTTATTCGTCAATTATTGTTTATAAAATCAAGAAGTTTAAAAAATGCTTAATAAACGTAAATTATTAGTTGAAATAATTATTTTTAAATTCAGTCAAAAATAGAATTTCTGTAAGCAAATTTGCAAAGAAGAATAATAATAATAGCTGAATTGGCAAAAAAGTATAATAATCCTAGTTAAGCACCAAAACCGACTAATTAAACAAAGTTCAACCAGGAATTAGTAAGACGTTATTAAAGTTACAAAAAGAAAACGTAAGAAAGCAGAGAGAGAAGATGCTCGAATTATAAGATAAGCCCTACCCAAGTATAAGATAATATTACCATTATTCATCATATTTGATATTGAACAAACAAAAATGAAAAATAAATAACAATAACTTTGAAAACCTAATGTTTTCAGGAACTTGGCAAAATACCCCAATTATTTTATGAAACTGAGAATAGGACTACTTTCCCTATCGTGAAAATCAGTCGTTTTTCATGTTTTTTTTTCTTTTACAATTCTGTTTTCGAAATATTTACTAATTGTGAGCACTATTGTTTTAATTTAAAAAAAATTATCTATAAATTTGAAGTTAATTCCGTTTAGTATAGAGAAAATTGATGCTATAATTTCGTAACTACCTTTTAAAAGTACACTCTAACATCGATGTAAAACTCTTCGGCTTACTTTTTTTCATTTTAAATCTTGCATTGATTTTTCGTTCATAATAATTTTTTCTCGATTTACATCTTCTTTGAAGACTCTTTTTCCGAAAATACTACATTTTTAATAATACACACTAAGTTTATAACATTACAAAGAAATTTTTCAATATAAAAGCTAGATTTCGTTTCAATTTCGTCCTCATTTACCTTAAAAATTTTATTCACATAGATTTTCCATTCAATAAAATATTTTAGTTTTCGATCCAACTTGCATCCATTAAGAATGTATCCTATAGAAATGATATCATGTATTTTTGTGTAATTTGGATTTCTTTAATTAATTGTCATTGCTTATATTTAAAAAAAAATAAATTCTCATATGTGTTCAAATAATTTATTGTTGAGACAAAATATATTTTCAATATTTCCCATAGTAATATTCAGAAATAAAATATCACCCATACTTTTTTTTTGCTACACGAACTGTGAATAATTAAGATAAGAATAATTCTAAATTTACATATTATAAGACATAATGTCCACGTTTTTTATGTTTATATTAAAAAATTTACATTCTTATCGTGCGACAGATAGACACACGTTAAAAACAATATATACATATATACGTATATATGTATAACAACAAATCCCAAACTAATTAAATAAAAAAATCTTTACCAGATCTTATTGTTCTTAAAACTCTTCATAAAATATTAAATTATTTTAATACCGTTAAAAAAAATTTTTTTTTAATTAACATTCTTTACTGCTTTTTTATATTTAAATTAAATATTCTTAATTCATATAAAATCGTTTATGTAACACAATATTTCGTAATTATTTTAATTTTATTAATTCAATTTAAAATCAAATAACAAAAAAAAAAAAAGCAAAACGTGTTATAAATTCAAGATTAAAAAAAAAGGCTATAATATTTGCGATATATAGAATTCATATATAAATATATAGAAAAAAAAAACTAGTTAATATCAAGAAGTCAATCAAAAAAACAATTCTTTTCTTCTATAACGATACCAACCGCAAAAAAAAAATTAAAATTAAAACAATAAAAGAAGGAAAAACATAAATTTTATTTTTAAATACTTGTCCAATTTAAATTTAATTTATTTTTATTTATTTGATTTAAAATTCTTAAAGACTACCACCATTAATTAAAAAGATTTTTATTAAAATTTTTTTTTTTAATAATAAGAATAAATCATTTTAATATAAGCATTTAAGAAAACGTTATTTTAGTTGTATATATACTTACATGTACATATTTACATACACACAAAATATAAGCTTTGCATAAATAATTTATAGAATATTATTAAAAATGTAAAATTATTTGTATATATATGAACAGTTAATAGAGGAAAAGAAACGCGATGATCAGCATGCTAATTAGCTAATTTAGGGAATTTCTTCATAAAAATAAATATATAGAATCTTTTAAATAAATAAAAAAAAAATACAAGTTTTTCCAGAAAATTTTTAATATTAATTTCACTTTTATTTTAAGAATTTTTTTTTTTTGTCTCTGTTAACTCTTGTCTTAAAAAAATTGTATAGATTGTATGTGTATTGTGTATGTAATATGAGTCATATATTAATAATAACAATGAAAATGAATTTTAAAAGAAGAGGAAATTGAATAATTATATTTGTAATTGAATATTTTAATAAACTACAAAATCCCTACGTTTTTGTTAATATATAAATCATTATTAAATACAAACAATTCTTAATATTATATTAATGATTATTTTTAAACATTTACTACAATGTTAGTACATAATCATTATTACTTATTAAATATTTTCTATTTTACTATTAAAAATCATTAAAATCATCTATTGGCGCCAAATTTTCAAACAAATACACATACATTAAAATATTTGAAAAAGAAGAATGAACACTACTACCAGTCTATATATATATATATATATATATATATATGCAAATAATTGGAAAACTTGCATAAGTATATGTATATATTTCCTGTAAATGAAAAATTTAATTGAAAAATTCAGAATTTTTTTCGAATTTCAATTCAAATTTTTATGAATAAAATATTGAATTCTAGCTATATAGTATAATCTGGTTCAGAAAACTAGCTTTTTGATAACGACGGAACAGGAAAAAAATATTTATTTAATATTATTTTAAATTTCTATAATATGTTTTTGATAATTTTTTGTATATACTTATAAACATGGCAATAAAATATTAAATGATATCAAATGATAATTTTATTCATTTATAATAAAAATATTAATTATTTTTCTTTTGTTTTGTTTTTTCATCAGTTCCTTGTATAATTATATAATTTAAAACATAAAAGATTTTAATTAAGTAAAATTTAATTAATTGTATAAAATATTTGATACAATTAAGAAAAATACGGTTTGAAAGAGAACTGAATTTGAAGAACGAACACGCGGAATACGAATGTCATACGAATCAAATGAAATTGTTATTTTTGTTTTTGATTTACTCTATTTTTTAAAATTAGTAATTAAATCTTTTAACACCAATATTTGCACAAAATATAAACATAAGCTCAAATTTATGGTTATAATTGGTAAAATAAAACAAATAAATTTCTTTTTTTTTTTTTAAATTTAAAAAAAATCATAAATAATTTATTAATATTATATAAATGTAATATTTAACAAATAAAAAAAATATCTTTTTTTTTAAATTTTAAAACTTATGTAATACATAATTTAATTTAAAATTATCATGTCTAACATTTAGATTAAGTTATAATTATTAATTATTAAAAAAATTTACAATAGAAATATGAATTTCTATATATATACGAGTACCACATGATTTGATTAAAATAAAAAATGTCTAGCATAAAAAAAAAAATAATTTAATTTTTTAATTTAAATTAGTATTTATCAAGTTAAGAAATTTTAAATATGCTTTTATCTATTTTGTAAATATTTTTATAACCTCAAAATCTATGATATGTTAAAAATTTTGACATTCTTTATGACATCAAATTAAAACATTATATATATAAATATATATATATATATATAATTGTTTTTATGGTACCTACATATTTTTAACACTTTTATGCATTTTTATTTATTTTTTATTTAAAAGTTAAAAAATGTGACATCAAAAAATATACATACGTTATTTTCTTCTTATAGAAAAATTAATAATTTTATGGGCATATAATATTAATTATTATTAAAATGACATATTTAACACATGCCATGCATATTTTTGTTCATACATTCTATTATAAAATTTTATTAAAATAAAATTTATTTAATATTTATTTATGTATTTACTCATAAATACATATTATTGAATTATTAAAATTTAATAAATTATTAATTTTTTTTTCTCTTTATTTTATTATTATTCAAAAAATAAAATAAAATATACAAAAAGAAATACGTTTTCAGTTATTTTAATTTTTAACCTTGAACTCTATATAATTTTCTTTTATTCTATTTAGATCCGCATCAACGTAAAATTTTTATAAAAGACAAAAGTGTTTCTTTAGTAAATAGAAAATAAAATCAACAATAGAAACTTAAGTCAAATTTATGGTTGCTATATGGAGTGAATTCGATAATATTAGACTAAATTTTAAATAGATATTATTTATGCTAGACATTTTACAAAACAAATATTTTAAATTTTTAGTTAACACCAAACTATTAGTGTAAGTTTAATTGAATTTAATATAATTGAATAGTCTTATTTAATATTGAAAATTAATAATCGAAAAGTTTTCGATTATTAATGGAAATAAAAATCTAAATTAATGTGGCAATTCTTTGACGTTATATACTTTAGAATATTATGTCAAATGTATTCGTTATAATCGAAAACATTTATTTTTTAATAATTTAGTAATTTCGATTACATTCTTGTCAAATTTCAAATTATATAATTTAAATAAGTGTATATATAGAATTCTTTTTCATATGTATATAAATTATAGATATTACTTAAACTATATATATATATATATATTATATAATGTTATAACTATCTTTTTATAAAAGTAAAGTACAAAAATTAATTAATCATTAATAATAATAATAATAATAATAAAAAAAATAACTTAAAGTATTCCTTTTATGATTTTTTTAAATGCCTTAATGTACTTTTCTGTAAAAATAAAAAAACGAAATTGACATTGTCATTATGTTTAATTTTGCTATAATGTCAAGTATGTCTTACACTTTTCTCCTTCTTGTTGAACGATATTTTTGTTTTTTAATTTCCTGTTGTCTATATACGAATAATGGCCTGAATACTACAGCACGTTTTCTTCTATTTAAATTCTGTGATGGAATTTGTACTGGTGGTGGATTTGTAAATAAATTTGCTTTAGATTTATCATGACGATATAATGTATTCAAAAAACTATAATATGATGGTTCTTGTAAAAATTGTTGTGCATTACGTAACGGTGATGGTTTAAATACATAAAAATTTTGTGGTATTTCAATATCTAAAATATTCGAAGACGCTGGATTAATGCTACGTTGAAATTGTTGTGCTGATGTGATATTATCAAGTAATATTGTAAATAAGAACGTTGCTAATAATGTGGAAATCTATAAATTAAAAAAAAAATGAAATTAGTTATGTATACGTACATATACATATATATTATTTATATATTTTTAAATTAAAATGCTATATATCAAATTATATTTGTTTTTTTATGTATTAACAATAATTAACAGAATAGTCCAAAATCAATGTTTGATGAATCAATTTTGTGTTTATTTACAAATTCTTTTGGTATTTTGTATATACTATATAATTTAAAGTATCGTATACACACAATGAATGTATCGTATATTTAAAATTAAAATTTATTCTGTTCGTGAATATCTCAATAATATTATAATTTAGATAGCATGTTCTAATCAAATTAAAATTGTGTTGTAAAAATGTGTGAACTTGTTTTGAACTTGTTGTGTCTTTGACATATGAGTTAAGATTCGTATTGTATATGAATTTATGCATAAAAACTATGAAATCTTAATTTAAAATTTATGAATAGATATAAATATAGTTAAGTTTTTGTTAGATCTCAAGGTTATTATAATTTGATAAGGAATGTATGGGTAAATATTAAGTATATTCGTGCGTTTATATTATAACTTTATTTTTCAATAGGTAAGAATTTTAACCGAAAGAAAAGGGTTAATTATACGTGCATATTTATATACAAATAGTATTGTTATAATTTATAATTGAGCATTCGGATTAGTTCATATATAAGTATATTATTCTGCTAAAGTAATATTTTATACTATAAAAGTTAGCTATAATCGGACATTCGCATTAGCCTATATATATGTAAAACATTTAAATAAAACATTCCGATACTTATATTGTCAAATCATAATTAATCGATTAATAAATCCAAATTAAATTTCAATATTTTGTAGATATATTAAATAAGTTAGAGAATAACATTTTCAAAAAAAAAAACAAAAATCTAATTAATTAATAGCGTCCCGTCAAAACAACTATAGGTGTTAATAAATTCATATTTTGACCGAATAAATGTTTATAATATAGGAAGTGCTTGTGTAATGCGCAAATTAACCTTTACATCTTTAATTTTTTCATTTTTTTTTCGATTTATCATATATTTTATATTTAGAATTTAATTTGTTAAATAAATATTTGATAATTATGTGATGTATGACAAACGAATTAAACCGCGACTATAATATATCATAAGTAAGAAATTAGACTCATTGTTACGTCATTGTTTATCTATATTGGAAAATAAATGTGTCATTTACATAAACAATTTAATATAGATATTTAAATTATTTTGCAATTGGTTTTTTTGACATACGAAATAAAATTTGCAAAATTCTACTGATTAGATTTTAAGAAAATATCATCCAACTTTTTTAAGATTTTATTGTATATAATTAATATTCTGATAAATGCAAAATTTATGTTAATATACATATATACAACTATAAAATTTCTTTAACCTTATAAAATTATCATAATTAGAGCTTAATTGTACACTAAGCTAAGTATATATTTAAACTAAAATAAAATAAAATGCATAATTATGAAATTTTTTAATTAGAATAAATCATAGAACTTTATAATTTTATGTTAAACATTTAAATTCATTTGAGAATCATCACCTAAACAACATTGTTTACGTGCTAATTGAAAATAATTTAGCTCAAATATTGAATATATATTGAGAATTTCAGTATAAAAATAATTAAAAATATGGAGGAATGCAAATCATTAAAAAATTAAAATTTTAAAATGTAATTTGACATACTAACCAAATTTCAATTATAAAAACACATGAGACAAGTGTTGATTAAGTGCTTTTAAAGTGATATAACAAATTTTAGTAATCTATAATTAAAATCGTTATTAATTACTACAATAATTGGCAATTAACTTGAAATCAAAGAAATACACATTAATAAGTCATTTATCAATTATCGATTCTTAATCAATTATCAATCATTATGAACGATTTTTAACTACGATTAATAAAGCCTCATAAAAACATAATTTGAATTGGGCTACGAGTACGTAATTAAATTTAGTAGTATTATATTGTAATATATTGTAGTATGGTAAATATAGTTGTATATTTGTATGTATTTAATAAGATATTGATTGTTCCTCAATATTGTAAATTATGAGTATTACAAATTATATGTACAATATAGTAAGCATAATTACAGCAAATACGAAATTTTATTGAATTTTATTTTATGAAAATTTTGATTTCGTATGGCATAATCGCAAATCAATTTGAATAATTCATTTTTTTTCTAAAATTATGAAAATTTGAAATTTCAATGGTATTATACATTCAATATTCGTGAAACAATATTTTTAAAATAAAATATCCTTCAGAAGACACAGAAAAAAATAAATATTTTACTTACTAAAATTTTTAATTAAAAATACATTAAAAAAATTTCAAACTCACTTTTATTAACTTTTCCATTTTGTAATATGATTTTTTATCAAACCTAATTTAAGATATTCAATTAAAATTGTCTTTTCTCAATTAATTATTTTTAATATTATTTTTTCTTTCAAGATTTTTATTGTTTCTTTTTCTATTTATTTTTTCAAAAAGTTTTCTTTTAATTTTCTTTTTTAATTCACTTCTCTATATTTTTTTAATTTTTAGTAAAATTTTAACATTTTTTTCTCAATTTAATATTAAAAATTTTGAATTTTAATTAAAAATATTCAAGATGAATATTCTATCCGAATGTTACATTGATACTGTCAAGAATCTCATTTTAATAACTGAATTTATATCAAAAATTATCAATCGAAATACAATAATAATAATAATAAAAAAAAAACAGAAACTTGTTGAAACTAATTTGAAAATTTTGCAAAACAGTCATCTTTTTCTCATATATGAAAAAATAAGCTTTATTTTTTCTTCTTTAAGCATTTTCACACATTATTAAAAAAAAATTAAGAAAAAAATATTTTTTACTGTGATATACAGATTGTATTCATGAGAAAGTTTTCATATAAAAATTAATTACATTTTATGTTGAACACTTAACAAACACATGCGGTTTAAAATTATTAATTAAAAGTTAATTAGATTTCAATTTTGTACCCTAAGTTCGTTTTATATGTAAACCAGAGGTTTGCTATTTCGAAAGGAACTGATTGACTAATTCAAATAAATTATAAGCTTGGCGATCTTCAAAATCCTACTCGAATTAGGACATCCTTCTTTTAGTATAAATGAAACTTATAATATTCAAACTTGAATATTCAAATTGCCAATTAATATTGCATAGCATACCTTGCAATATTAATTAAAGTAAATAGGTAGATAGTAATTGAAAAACCCTTCGCCCTCTTATAATATTCGCAAAAATTAAATTGTTTATTTTAAACATTAATTGGAAAGAATATTACACGCTCAATGGTTGAGTGCTAGAAAAGTGACCACAAGTTTTAACTGAACAGTTTAACAAAAGAAAATTAAAATACCTTTTAGTTTCGTCATTCTTTTTTACAACAACAAAAAATAAGCGATTTCAGTGAAAACTGACGTGAACACTGAGCGTGTAATCTTCACCATTTTCTATCATCTCTTTCAATATTCAATACTTATTTAATATCAACATTATAGAAGAACATTTGATTGAAAACTAAACGGGAAAAAGCAATAAGAACGAAATATTAAGTACGGACTTGTTCCAAATAATCTTCTATGTCATTTATATATAAGAAATGTAATTGTAATTATCATTTAATGTAAATAAAAAAAATTTAATTAAATTGAAATTTTAATAAATTCTGTATTAAACCCTATACAGTATTAATAAGAAACCCTGTAATATCTGTAACTAATAAGCATACTACCTAATATTACGAAATATCTTTTAATTATTTCGAAAAAGAAATAATTTTAGTTAATCTTTTACATATAATTTATTAAATGACAAATTGACCATAATAAATTGATGGTCAAAAACTCAGTCGAAATTGTACTGTATTTCGCCTATATTATTATAAAAAATACTCGAATATATCAATTAGAATTCAAAGAAAATTACTTAAATTATATAAAAAATTAGTATTAAATAATTAAATACATACATTTCACGCAAATTAATATAATTATTATCAAAAAAATAATATTACGGATTCTAAATATCATCAAAATAAAAACATTAACAACGCGATTCTGTGAAAATTTTTCTGGATTAATAAATTGTTATCGTTATCAGTAACAATTTGTTTACTAAATTATGCTAGTTAAAGCTAGTAAAATTATTCTATATAATTTTGTACTATATATAGGAAAACTGAACAATGTTATATATTAAAATGGTATGTTGTAGATGGTATGTAAATTTCATATTAATAATTAAACTATATTATGTCTATGACCGCTGTATATACATTCTGAAAAGTATACAATAACATATATCATTGGTTAGAGGATCGAAAATAGGTAAAACTTTTGTTCCGGACTGGGTGCTAAATCTCAAGCATTTCCGAATTCCAGCCATTTTAACGAATTTTTTCGAACTTTTTACTTATCCAAGTTTTTTTGACTATAATTTCCGTTCTAAAAGAGATGGTTACTTCAAACAACTTCAAACAAACATTTTCTGAAAGGCCTAGGAAAAGGTTTAAAATAAAGATGTTGCTTGGTTCTGTATTTTATGTACCTTCGGAATACTAAGCATTCAAACTTTAGGGAAAATCAAATTTTTCTCTTCATTTTATCAATTTTTTCTAAATAGATAATTTAGTAAGAAATTTTTTAAAACCTTGAAATTTTTTTTATAGGATTTTGCCTGGCTGCTTAAACTTTAATTTAAATGCTCAAACATTAACAAAATTTTTATGGTACAGAACATATAGCACAAAAACCACAAATATTGTGAGCCACAAATTTAATTAAAATCAAGCCAGATGTTGATAAAACTAAAATTAAATTCAATTTAATATTTCTTTATCTAAAAAATTACAAATTTCTCAATACAAAAACACCAAATTTTCCTATGAAATTCAACTAGTTTGGTAAAAATTTATGTTTTTCTTCTTTTAAATCTATGTACATACATATTTCTATTCAATCGCATATTTTAAATTTATTGCTTTACTGGATCACCTCTTTATCCCCTCTTTATTTGCATCAACCGTACACCAATTTTAGTTTTTCTAGAAATTTGTTTAAAATTTATTAATCCCATAAAATTATTTATTAATTATTTATTAAATTCATAATTTTAATACCATATCATTTACCTACTCCATTTTGTTCAAAAAAATTAAATTCTCCTGATACTCGTAAAAATTTTTTTTTTCAATTAGAATAAAATAATGTCAAAATTTGTATGTAATTTCTTTGAAAATTCGCTCCAGCTGGTTAATTTTAATAGCTTCAGATGTCAAATGATCTTCAGATTTCGAAAATTATTTTTTTAAATTTTTAAATTGCACCCAGTGTGAGAAAAATGCATTTAAAAATTTCAAACCATATAGGTACCATTTCTTATAAAAATTGGGAAAAATTAAAAATCTATCATTTTTTTTACCAAGAAAAGTTTCGAAAAAAATTTTTTGATTACTAGATTTCTTTTTTTAGTTTTTCGTAATACAAAAATTATTTTCAAAAATTTAAAATTTTTTAATTTCAATTTTTGTTTTTCAATTAAAAACTTTGTATAAAATTTCGTTTCAATTTTCTTATTATTTGTTACATTTCATAAAAAAAACATTAAAATTCAGATTTATTATCAAAATAACATGATGTTCATCCAAAACAAAACTCTCGTCATCCAAAATTAATGATAGTTGATAATTACAGCGCTTAAAATAAGTAAAGATCAAAAATAGTGAAAAATAGGGCCTTTAAAATCTTGACATGGAAATGGTTTTTGTGCTATATCTTCTGTACATAAAATACAAAACCAAGCAACATGTTTATTTTAAGCCTTTAACTATGCCTTTCAGAAACTGTTTGTTTGAAGTTCTTTGAAGTCCCCATCTTTTTCAGAACGGAAATTATAATCAAAAGAACTTGGATAAGTAAAAATTTCGTGAAAATTCGTTAAAATGCCTGGAGCTCGGAAACCCTTGAGATTTGGCACCCAGTCCGGAACAAAAGTTTTACCCATTTTCGATCTTCTTTTTAAAAGTTTCCAAAATCTATTATTTTATTCTTTTAACATATTACCATATAAATATGGGCAATATCTCATAATTTTAAATATAATGTGATTTATTTTTGCTAGATGAAATGATTAATATAAAGAAAAATGAGTCGGAAAACTTGTTCTACTATAGCTGTCACACAACTCTTATTTTATATTATACATGTATTATTGTATTATGTTTAAACTTTTAAAATAGTTTCGCTACTCATAAGATTATTCTATTAAATTTACCACACGTGCTGCCCGAAACGCGTATTTTTATTCTTATTATTCATTTTTCTTTTTTTTTTAATTTTGCCTATAAATTATATTACTTTTATTTTTAAATATAAACAGTAATATACTTGATATTATATTACAAACTAATACACTTGAAGACGTTCAATAGTAAATAAACGTGGAAATTCTTATTTGCCGTTGAAGAATTAATGAAATAACGTCATAGTTTTGACTTACTTTTTTGAAAATTACAAGTATCCCCATATTTGCTCAAATTTTTTAAATTCAAAGTTAAGTAAAAGATTTTGATACTTAAAATGAAATTATGTATTTCTTATATATTAGAGAGCAATAACAGATTAAAAATTCTTAAATTTTAGCTTTTATTTTGACAGATGTAAAAATCTAATAGCTTAGCATAAAGTAAATAAAACAAATAATCTCAAACGAAATTATTATTGAAGCTTCAACACAATAATTTGATATGCGATATACAAAAAATTATCTCTTAGCCATCCTGAAGTTCTCGGGCCATAATAAAAGAAAGCAAAAATCTGATCGAATTTTTAAATATAAATAATATGGACATACTCGTATATAGAGATTTTTGGCTGGTTTGTAGATTAATTAAACAAAATGTTAAAAGTACATTGAAGCAAAGAACAAAAAAGTTAATAGATTTTTTGTTGTATTTACACTAATAATGTCATTATAACTTATATTTGAATTATAAATTCTTGGAACCTTTCCATACATATAATAACAGTAACAGCAAAATACAAGCATGAAAATGTCATAAATTTTATAGCTTTGACAAAACGACCTTTTTATTATATAATATGTCCCACATTGTGTTATATAAGATTCATATTTTTAACTGCCAAAAATTAATAAGAAATCAAATATACAAACTTATGTGAGCAATAAAAAGCACTTTACAAAAAAGCAAATAAAAAAATGAAATGAAACAAGCTTCATATTTAAAAACATTTTTTTTGTAAAATATTTTGTTTAGAAAAAGTATTAGATACTTTATAAGAACATTGATTGAATGAGTCAATTACGTATTCATGCTACAACTCTTATAGTTTGGGATTTTGAACTTACACAATTTTGACGTAATCATAATTTTCTGTATAATTTAATTTTCAATTCTACTTAATATTCATGTTATATTTTAATTTATTTATTTATCATAATTAATATTTTTTATAGACATTTTCCATTGACCGAAATACTTTGAAC